ACATTCTGAATTTTCGACATGTTAATTTCTGTAATTTTAGTATTCATAACATCAGCTGTACTGTAATCACATGTAAACAGAGCAGCAACAGACAGCCAATCATATTCGCAGTAGCATCACTGTATACCACCACAGTCAATGTTACCAACTGCCGTGACAGAATTCTAAATGCGTGCTCGCATCTCGATCAGTTTCACTGCGAAAGATGACCGTGATTGAGAGTGAGCAATCACAGTCAAACCTGTGTTCACAGAAGAGCAGTTTAACTCATCACTACAACCATGTAGAACATATGTGACGCAACCAGTATCTAGCAGCAAAGCACAATCACTATGATCCTTTAAAATGACAATAAAAGTAAAATACGGCGGCAAGTATGAAGGTGGCTGTAGGGCCGTATGGTTTCGAAGAAGTTTACAGAAGTTTCAAAGGAGCTTGCTGCACCTAAAACGTCTGTAAACTTCTAGGAAACAACGCAGTGCTGCAATCCAGAAGACAGCCATTTTCAGCAATTAAACTGTTCTGTTGGTAAATTACATGTGTGATATATAGGATAAATTTAATACACATTACCACACACACATATAAAATGGAAATCACCGTCTATCATTCTACTATTATAAATGATTTATGTGGTACCAGTAAAATCAACACACATTTCAACTGTATAACCAGATGTTGTCAAACGAATATGCGACAGATACAAAAAGTTTCTGGAGAAATAGATTACCTGAAAAAATTAGAAATGGCACACTTTAAAATGCTTACAAACAAAAATGTACTTACTCTACTGTATTGCAAAGAAGACAGTTGCACTGAATCCAGCTAAATTTAATGCTGCACAAATTTTTTGTTTTACCTACCTATTAAGTGACTTCTGACATCTTGCAGTAATTTTATGAATAATCTCAGGAGTAATTATCACTTTTGGTATTTATTTGAGAAGAAACACATCTACATAGGACTTAAGTTTTATCCTTGTCACGAGTCCACTGCTAGCGAGTTCAGTAACTTTGCTTTCCAAAACAAAGTATCAGGGACAACTACCTTTACACATTATAACAACCTCTAAATATATTATTATATAATTAGCTGCTCCAAAGTCATGCTCTTTGAATTATCACCACAGATTAATTTTATTAATACATTTTAAGCAGTTCTACAATTTTCAAGATCAAAGCCTGACCTTCAGCTCAGGAATTGTAAACTGCACGGATTGGCCGATCTGAGTTTGAACTCTGCTTGGATTTAAAATTACTCGGTTGATAGAGATCTAAGAAAAAGTATTTTAGTGGATATCAAGTTCACTGGAATAGGGAAACAAGTGATGTTATATTTGCTAATGTCTGTGCACTTGTGAACATAATAAAAGCAAACTGTGAATGTGTTTATACAATTAACTTATCAACTGTACAGCTGCATAAAAAATATGACATTACCAAAAGATAATGCAGCCCACAGCTGTATGCAGATAAAATAACTTTTCTGTCATACTCCTACATTTAATTTATTTTCTAGCCTATAATTATAGGATGCCATCCTAGAATCAAGACAGTAGTTTTTACTTTGGAAGGTTCTGGGTTGCACAGCTACAAACAGGAGTACATACTGGCAGAAACCACTTAGAATAACAAAGAGTTAACATGTTTTGAGTGTATAAACTCCAAGGCTTGACCAACTGCGAACAGGCTCACCGCACAGGAACAAAGTACGCATTGATATCCTACATATAAGATTCACGCAGGCCTCAGCTGCTGCGAGGCTTCAGGAAGACCGGCGTCCACCAGTTTGCTGTCGGAGGTTGATCTTTCAGCTGCTTTTCCTTTGCTTCAAGTTGATCCTGTAAGCAATATAACTATTCTTATAACTCCAAAAACAGCCTTCAAGCATTTTTCTCCTTAAACTTAACTGCTATAAAATTCTGTGTTACACACAGGAAATGACTAAATTAACGACAACCACTAGAATATTCATATAATGTAACTGATACCTGTGAATACATAACAATTAGCTGTAAGCAGCAAAACAGAATGGTACACAAATAATTCACGGAGATTTATCCTTTAGGATTACAAGTTCAATATGTCCATCGTTCTATCATGCAACTTCTGAAACATGAATGGCTGCATTCGTGATCATTCGTTGGCATGTATCCTCTGTAATTCCCCCACACATTTGAAAAATCAAAGCCCTTACTTGCATTACTGAGGCCATCTTTCTTTTAAAACATTTTTTCCTTAAGCTAACCCCAAAGGAATAAGTCACAGGGGTTTATGTCTGGGCTACTGGGTGGCCACGGATGTCCTGATGGCCATGGATGTGGACGTGTAACACATTCTTAAAATGTATTCTATTTACTTTATGTTTATCATATTAATGTACATGCAGATGGCTCTTTTTCTTAACTTCAACATCAACATTTTCATTTAAGCTCAAAATTTTTCACCCACAACAGCACAACCTAAAAGTCCATGCAAGTACCCAATCTAAAGGCTATGTTACCAGTAACTTCCTCTGTTTCTCCCTGAAGGCCTCCACTGGGTTTGGATATTGCTGGTAGTACTCCAGAACCTCCCTCACATCCTCCACCTTCTCAGCAGCAATTGCTGGAAGTAAAGAAGAACTGGTAAACAACATTCCCTTCACCTAGTCATGAGCAAAGATTGGACTGTGTGCCCAGTGTACCTACTTCTTAAAAATGTTCCTAGGGCCACCAGAGTCTGGTCATCATCATTGCCCTTCCACCTTGGCAGTCGCAGCATGTTCCTTGGATGAAACTTCAATGATTCACCATTCCAGTCTATCACGATCACCTGCAACAACACATGGCAATGGTGGGTAACTAAAACATGAAACTGGAAATAAATTATGTCTTTACAGCTTTGGAGTTGTTGGCCAGTAAGCATTACTTCAAAACCAATACTACGTCTTCAAGGGAAGAGAAAAATATTTTTCTAATGAAATGCTTATTTAATTCTTGGGTTATTTAAAAGTACTTTTCCAACTGCATAGATTATGTACCAATGAATAGTAGGATGATTATGTGAGTGTAAATTTTGCTGGATTAAAAAATGAGGGTACAATAAAGCATTTACCTTTCCCCTTTCACATTCAGGTATTTTATTAGTACGAGAATTTTTTAATGACCACTAAGTTTTCGGATGTTACAGCTTCATCACAGCTTTGTACAGCGTAATGGCGGTGCTGTTTTAAGGTTTTTCGTTTCAAGTACACGGAAATTTTCTAAAACTGAGGCTGGCTCCTCAGCTCCCTCACCTTCCTCAGATCTCGGTTCAGGCAGTCCAAGTCCTTAACGTGGTGCCCATCAACAAAATGTGTGGCATCCCTCACCAGTCTGTACATTATGTAGCCATTTGGATCCAGGGCATCCAGAATGGGGAACACAGTCTGCAAGAATCTCAAAAAGCTACATCAGCTGGACATTGGCACTCATGTCAATGACAGGTGATGGTGATTGGCTGATAACATCCTACAGCATTTACAATGGCTAATATTTTACATTTAATTAATTCCATATCCCTAGCAATTTTGTAATAAATATGGATCCTAGCCAATGATCAGGAACATAACCAGGGAACCACTCGCACACTCAACTACTGCAATCACAGAACGTAAATTTACTATTACAACTATAAATGAAATAAGCACAGACAACCAACCACTTCACATTCACATTTCAAGTTACATATTTATTAATAATTAATAATAAATTAACTATTTTATCAGCATTCCCATTTGCAGGACCATTTGGCACAAGATCAGTATTTTGAAACAGAATCCTTTCATACTTCGAGATTTCTTCTTCTGTGGGAGCATTTGTATTTTATAACCTGAAGAAGGGGGAAGGAGCGAGGACAACAAGGGAGGAGAAGAAGTATTTTTCATAATAAACTATTTATATCAACTGACCAATTAAAAACGTAAATTAATGATAAAGGTCACTAAATTGAGATCAATCAATTAACAGCTTGTTAAGGACTGCACAGCAACAGATCAAAACACCTTACCATGCCAGGCTCAGCAGTAAACACCACCACCTCAAACAATGGTGGCGCCACCTGCTCCAAGAACTGATCCACGCCTGGACGCTTCTTGAACCTCCACCCAGTCTTGTACTGAAGCAACAAAGGGTTTCGTTACTCCACTGTACCTACTACATTTACTGAACTCAATAAAACCCAGTGCACCAGTAAAGAATGTTAGTGAAATCACTGCATCGGCAACACTGAAATATTTGTACACAAAGTATCTGCGGTCACGTGAAGATCTGATGAACCCTGAATCGGAAATTGGCCCTGCCTCGGCCAACAGTCACGTTTGCCAGGTTTGCCGCCAGTTGCTCTGGTTGTGAGTTCATCACATGCCACCGCAAACCACGGCTAGACTACCAATATGTCCACTCTGACCACTACAAGCTTGCAACTGTACACTTTGAAGTTTAGTGTTCAAATGGTGATTTGAAATTCGGTATAAATAAATCATAAATAAGCCCACAAATTCTACATTAAATATTTAATAACTTTACAGTTACAAACATGATGATAGTGCAAAACTTTGAAGGTATGTCAGAAAAATTTAATGAAGACAAACAATGTGATGATGCTGATGATAGCAACAAACTGTAACATTCTTACAACTGAACAAAAATTGTACTCAACTTGGATTTAACTGTATGACCATTTGTGCAAAAGTCCAGTATCCCAACCAACGTACCATATTGTTTTTACTATAAGATTACAAATTTACATTACCTGACAAAGAGATTAACAACACATTTACAAACAGGAATAAAAGATTGTGCACTTCGTGAATTATATCAAGAAATCCTCGTTGCTTGTGAGAAATTAACATCTGCATGACTGTGGAAGTTTCTGATTAAATCGATGAAGGAAGATTAAGAAAATGCAGGCCCCACAAAGTTCCTGGACTCAGTTAGTATGAAATAAACCTTACCTCAGAGACATTGTCCTTATAGTTACTGCATCAAAAAGAAACATCTTGCAACAGATGTCACTGGCTCACATGATTTGCTTACCGTCCAATCAGGATGAACTAGCACGTCAGTCAACTCCAGCACGAGTGTATAGGGCGGCTGTATGTAGGGATAAGGGACCGGGTCAGGCAGCAGCTTCTCTCGAGACGGTTCACGAATCATCTGAAAGTAATCGGCTCCTCTTATTACACTGACCTCCAACTGCCCAAGAGATAAAAATGTGGGACTCCACATACCCGTTTGTAGTAGTTCACTTCCTTCAACATGCGACTGAAGAACTGTTGAATCAGTGGCATCTGGCTGAACTCATCTTCTACAGTGTTGCCATTCTCATCTCTCTTTGGCTTACCTGTAAACACAGGACATGACACTGTACCTGCAGTTGATTCAACAGAAGGGAAAGGCAAACATAATTTTAAAAAAATAATACAGCTATATTATTCAGTTACACAATCACATAACCCTACATGTGTCGGTTGAAATCAGCCTTCATCACGAGTGTGGAGATGGCAGAATTCTGTAAAAAAAAATGTTAAGGTTATGCACTGACATCTGTAATACTCGATGGAGAATTCTGTTTAAAGCGCCTTAAGATAAGCTAACTTCATCTAGCATGACCTAACAAAACAAAACCAATTCCAAATATGTAGTGGAAGAACTTTGGGACAGAAGAGTTCCCTGAAATGTGGCAACATGAGACATTCAAACAGTATTCAGCACTTTAATCCAATACAGAAACCAAGGATTACCTAGTTCATAAACCATGTAAGATCCCAGGATTCCAAAAGTGGCACCAAAAGCAATGAAACTGTACTTCATTGCTTTCCAAGAAGAATCTCGTCTCTTCTGCTCTTCATGGTCTTCGTCACCAGGACTTACAGGTGGCACTAGTGGATTACTAATCTTCTTTACATCTATGGAATCTTCTATATTTTTGGCACTCGGCGAATGTGGAGCTGCACACAAAACCACAACAGGATTTGAGGTTCTAATGGCAGCAAGTGTGAAGATGGCTGTCTTCTGGGTTGTAGTGCCGTGGAGTCTAGTAGTAGTTAACCAACATTTCAGTGGTCCTTGTTGCCTCCTTTATCAGGTGGATAAGTAAACTTCTGCCAGACTACGTGGCACTATAACCCAGAGGACAGCCATCTTCACATAACCATAAGTTCAACACTCTTTTCTTATGTAACTCCAGTTGTTCTCAAGATAATGTGGACCATGTTTTGGGTGGTTCTATTCAGTTTCTACATGCAAATGCTTTTCCCAGAATATATGTTTCCAGTGTGTTGCTATCAGCAACACACAAATGCCACACATTCTTGCTCCCAAGGACATTGGGGTGACTGGTATCTGGACTGCAGCTGTCAGCACCTGGGAGTTGTTCTTTGCTACAACTTTCTATTCATACCCTATATTAAAAGTTATGCTTGTTTTGTTGTTAGAAACAATTTTAATTAAGTTTGCTGTCAAAATGTAATGCAAGTTTTCTGGCTTGAAGTAATTTGTTCAAGCTAGCAAAAAACATCATTAATGAAAGTTTTAAAGCAGTCACATTCAGGATATTAAGTAATAGCACTAGCATCATCAGTCAAGAGTATAACACCTGCATTTAGAAGGATGGCTGGGAACAGATCATTGATTCATATATGAGGAATAGCAAAGGACCAAGTACTGAACCTTAAAAAAACTTCATGTTTCACAATGCCCCAATTTTATGTATTATGATCTGATTTCAGAGATCCGATTTCTAATGCTGCCTGTCATTAATGTATTATTTACATAACTGCCCAGCTTCAACTTGAATTCCACCGAATTTTAGTTTTAATAATAAAATGTCATGATACAGTAAAATAATTTAACAAAGTCACAAAATAATTCACTAATATGAATATTAACGGCATATATGATTTCATCTATCAATTTGTACAAGGCATTGCCAGTTAACATGTTATCATTATCTCTTCTAATGCATACTAGACTCCCATTATTAAAAGGGCCCATTTCTGATAGCCCTACTGCAAAATAGTCTCACGTCTTCGACAAATTATCAGCAGAAATTATTTGATGTTTTGAATGAATAAATGAGGTTATGTAGTTGACTGCATGCACTGCATTTTACATGTATAATGGACTATATAGTACCACTTAAACTGGAATATCTTCTTGTTAGTGAAAATGTTGTTCCATTAAATTTCTTACAACTGTACGCACAACACTTTCTTGAATGTGACGGTCTAAGCCCTGGTATAATAATACTTGATATTCTCACACATCTCCTCGAAACGTTCGCCATTGCTACCATGGGAACAACAAAAGAACACGCTTATATTCAAAGAGTGTTAGAACATATATCGGTTGGTATGGTTACCAAAAATAACTATTCACTAAGAGCACATGTAAAGCGCGGTATACAGTTGTGTTGTAGCACAAATTATTAAGTTTACACTAAGGAAATAATTTTGGAATAGCTACGGTTTGTACAATAATTAAGTCTAGATACACTTATATTTAAAAGTTTGGGGGGAATGCATTTGGATTTATGCTTCACGATATTTGGGAAACACCTATGAATATACGGTGAAGGGGATTATTTCCTACTTTCGTTGGAGTGCGTAAAGTTCCCAATACGTTGTAGCATATCTCACAGAATTTTATTATTAGCAGTTTTGACAGGTCATTTTGGAGTTGATTCTACCATACAAATCCAATAGCAATACTGAATTCATAGTCGTATTTTGAGACATTGGAGGTTAAGATAGTTTAAAAATTTAACATTTAAGCTGCATAGATGTACTATTAGATTGTATCTGGTTTAGCAACCAGTGTGTTGGCGAGTTAGCCCCTTCTAGTTACAGCTTTCATATACCCTGATGTGTGTACGGAACATATCCTACCTTGTTGCATGCAAGGACATAAGATCAGATTCTTACTTTAATAAGGCAAAAGAGCCACATCCAGTCTTCTTAACCAAAATGATGGACTACAAAAATGGTTGCAGATGGATGCTCTACAGGGGCAACTGAACACACTGAGAGAAATTATGGAATCATTTCCTGTAGGAGCAGCAACAAGTGTGGACTATTCTCTGGAGAATGAAATTAGAAGATCTGTCAACACAATCTCTTTGGCCAATGCCAAACTGTTGATGTTGAAAGCTCAGGACAGGAAGCGTAAGTACTAGTGTCTGTAGTATGTTGATAATGGTGGGACTAGGCCACTTTACAGTGACTAACTTAATATTCCAGGAAAACTTCCACAAGACAGGGAGTCACTGGATCTCTACCAGCTCCCTGAGGTGCTGGGTGAATATGACGAAGAAATAACAAAGGCCAGTGTGCGCAAATTAGCATGGAGGCATTCTGCCGAGGCATCTCATGTCCGTAGATTGATGTCAGATGCGGTGTCAGCTGAGCCAGGAATTTTCACAGAGTCTTTTCAGTAAGTTGCACTGATGAAGCTAGAATTCAATTTGTCTGTTGCCTTTTCAGAGTACCGCACTGCATGTTCCATGCAGAAGCTTTCTCTGCTCATTGCCAAGTGATACTGGCACTGAAGTTACTTTCATGATGTTTCTTCAGGGCTAGGAACTGCTCTGTCCTTGTCTGTACCACAGAGGCCCTGCAGCAGTATGTGTTGTGGAGACATCCCCTCAATGTTCAAGGTCTGAGTCCGTATTCAAGCTTTCTGGTAATACAGGTCTTGCTGATATGGGCGAAGACCTGGTACTGGTACTGCCTCCGTGCTCACGACACTGGCAGATTTTGCTAAGATAATCTTCAAGGGAATAGGAAGCACTGAAGGGTCAAGTTTGCAAATAAATAACACAAAACAAGACAAAAAATCTCACAGGGTAATTCCAATGGAAAATATTGACAGCCAAAGCTGCAGTTTCTAGGCAAGTTGGCCGTTACTTCCTGAACTCATAAAGCAGCCATTTTGAACCTTGATAGAATCTAACCTTCTTTCAACAATAATTGAATGTTCTAAAGCCATGGTATCTCCAGCCTGGTCTAATGTGACGACCAATTTCCTCCATCATATGTCATTGTTGAAAAAGGGAAATATGGCACAACAGCCACTACTAGGCCAATCTTCAAGGCTCCAGATGATACGTGATATGAAGCAGTGGTAAAATAATATTGACAGGGAAAAACTTAATATCTCAGAAACAAAGCTGTCCACAACAAATATAACATGGGCTGCCATGTGTGTAAATGTGGGCTCCTGCAGTGACACACTGATGACTAAACTGCAACTAACAAGAGTTGTTTTGGTGCTGTATACAGGAGCACAGTGGATCTACTGAATGCAGTGATTGGCCTGAACAGTCAACTGAGGGGTGTGCTGAAGGAGCAGCGAGATACAGCACTACAGATTATAACCAAAAAACAGGAATTGCAGCACAAGCTGGATGATTACAAGGAGCTATTGGTAGCACAGGAAGTGGAGCGGCATGAACGTGCCACTGCGAAAGAACGGGAGAACATGGAGTAAGTGACTGGCACATTCTTGACTTGGGTTCTTTCTCTTCCCTCCATCGTATTAACCACACTGCTGCAGTATGGTTTTTGATACAGAATCAATGCAAATATTTGAGTAATTTAAATGATAAATGCTAATGATCATTACTTTGAACCAGTACGAGGGACTGCACAGGAACACAGGCACTGTGTGACTGGTTGTCATGAAATCGCGTCTGAACTTAAAACATTCAGGGTAAATTGATGTTGGTTATGAAAAATATGGTATGTGAAAAGAAAAAAGAATTGCTTTTTCTCCATAATTTATTTTAAAAAGAAAGATTTGTTGTCAGGAAGGGCCAACATTTATGTTCACAGCAGTTTTTTGTGAATTTATGGAAATTTACATAATTTGTAATGGATTTTTCAAAATTATCCAAAATGAAATCCTTATATTGTGCGTAATAAACTTAATCTAAGGGGACTGAATATAGCCTTTGTTGTAGTGGTAACAAAACTTTTAACTCCATCTTTCAGAAATTTCTAAAGTGACTGTTGTTCTAGGCAAAAGAAGCGATTGCAGTTGAGACTGGAGAAACTGAACGTGATGCGGATGCTCATGACAAACCTTCTAAGCATCAGCAACACTGACTATATCAAGCATCAAGAGTGGACCAACATACTTATTGAGAAGCAAGGGTTTATATCAGTGGAGACCCTCATGGCTTCCAACACTGCAGTACAATGAAAAGCACATTCAGTAACAGACCCTATGGTCTTTGAACTTGGTTCCAACATTTTATAAACATCTCTGTAGTATTCATACTGTTTACAATCATTTTATACGGGAAAACCTCATAAGTATTCTACCAATAGAACCTTCCACTGAAAACACGTGGTTTTCAAGCAGCTGACAAAACTTGTGGCATGTCATGATGTAATTTCCAAACACTGCAAAAAGATACATAAATCTCTTATGGAGATAGCCACAAATCATGGAACCATCAAGTCAGACATGCTGAAATTCTGCCAGTGGAAGGAATAAACCTATGGCCTAAACACATTATAAAGAAAATTTACACAGATTACAGTAGAATGTTGTTTTGCATGCATTTTTGATCTCTGTAAAAAGTTTACATTCACACATTAAAGTTTCTTTTGCGAAGTACACAGAACTTGCCTTTTGATATCGTCCTTCAGTTCTTTGATTGTGCGAAGGTTTAATATATAAATTTCATGCTTTATGGTTCCTCACAAATTACATCATATGGGTTGAGGTTGGTGGAGTGTGCTGGTTAGCAACCACTACTAATAATTCTGTCCCCAAACACTTCCATTTAGGTGTCCGTGTGTGCCTTCGCCACATGAGCAGCAGCGAGCTTTCAGAAGAATGCATGCTTGCATTCTTCACCTTATACATGATCCATTAAACTTTATCATACTTAAATGGTTTCAGTTTGTGCCAATGATTTTAAAACCTGTCTCATGCCCTGGGCTGCACATGTTAGGAACACATTACTGCATCACTTCTAAGTAATTTTCTTCTTCATTAGCAATAACTGTTTTGTTCTTCTATCAAAAAATGGATGATACACAATTCAGAACAGAGAATCAACATTAAGTTACAAGTAAAACGTAGAAAATCCACATACATTTGCAAATGCAACTTTATGGTAATGGAAGAATGTACAAACTACAGTCTACTGTGTGGGTCTAGACTTCAAGCAAGAAGGAATGAAACAATGAAATGATTCAAATGCTCAGAAATAATTTCCCAGAAGTTAGAAGCTAATCTGAGATATTACTATGTCATGTTTTTGATCACTGTTATCTTTCTCATGAACAATAAACATGGAACACAACAAGAAGGCGAACAATTCACTTTTTCTGACTTTCATCGCGAACAACAGTGACAGATCCTGTGGGGAAAGCAGCCACCTTATCACTCTCCATCGTCTTGCTAGACACGACCCTGCCACTGCTGTCCACTTCCTTGATGGAAATGATAATCCTGTCCTCTTCCACCACCTGCTTCAAGGGGTCTTCATCGTCCTCACAGACTGTGAACTCGACCTCATTCCTGCCATTCACACGACGCAGGTTGTAGTGACTTTTGCGACACAACGGCTGGGTAGCAGCAGACTCGGACTGCATCATCTCCTGGGTCACCTCCAAGCTCTCATAGCGCACTGTTTGCAGCCTGAAGAAACCGTCTTCATCGTGCTTGTACCTGCAACCACCAGCCTTCTAATACTATTTCTACATTATAAGGCAATTAACTATTGGATCACATGAAATTTTGTGTTGTGACTGAGACTAAACATCACTATGAATACAGAATTATACTGATACAAATTGTAAACATGGCAATGTGTGCCCTCCAGGTTAGGTCTGACAACTTGAATGTAAGTCTACATAGCAACAAATCTGCAAAACTACATAATATAATTATATAATGAAATGAAAATGCCAAGAACTCTTCCTGCAACTTTATATTTTCATGGAACTGTACTGTCTGAAGTAATGCCGCATAAGCATCTTATTGTGTGTTCTGCCCACCTGAATCTGCAGTGGCCTGATGGCCAGCGGAAGTTGTGCTGAGTGAAGAGGTGACGTGTGAGCAAGGATCCGCGATGAAATCGATCGTCACACATGTGGCAGCAGTATGTTGGCGCATCATCCCCTCTGTGACTCTTAAACAGCACATATGCTAATTGTGAGCACTGAACACTTTGCTAGGCTCTTTCACCAAGTTGGAAATGGGGGAAAAATCAGAGTCTGACACTGTCAATTGTACATCTGAAAATTTTGAACTAAGACAGGAAGAATTATGTGCAGACAACTCAAATCACATGAGAATCAGCAATCAGCAGAACTCAGGATTCTGGGATCAGTGAACTGTGAGGTCAGCAACATGCTGAATCCACTGAAACCCCTCCATATGCAGTGTTCAGTGATTAGAAAGAGCAAGTGCCAATGGAGACCCTCTGTGTGTGTGTGTGTACATATATATTCAGATCTTTAAAAGATAGGTTATGGTCATTATAAATTACAGTAAAATTAATTTATGTTTTTCTCAAGGGCAATGGTTTTATCATCATAGATGGAGGAAATTTAAAGTTTATCTGGAATCATTCAAATTAAACCTTAACTTGAACATTAAATAGTGATCCAATGCAAAAACAAACAATTGCAGTGAATTATAAACTGAACATATTGAAAAGCAATTTACTAGTATATTTATGATATAAATGAAATATATAAAGTGAGTGAGTGATATTCAATTTTGATATATTATTCTCTATAACATGACCACAAATCCATGACATGATAGCAAATGTGAAGCTGGCAATTTCAAACACAGAAAGGGTTGTACTTATACATCAGTGACTGGTATTGAGATTACAAGGCAGACTTACAAGAGTACCTTTTAGACGCAAGTCAAATGTTACTACAACCCCTTGCTTTCAGGTCCCAGCCTACGCCTTCACAAGACTGAAAATGACAGTGTTCCAATCCAGGTAAAGAGCTGACCCTCAAAGCTTCCTGACACATCTTGCTGTACTCTTACTAAAAACACATACCCTATGGTAATGCCTGCGAAGCCCATAAGCACTGCGGCACGAGAAACCACAGCCCTCCTGCTCACAGCGGTAAAGTGGGTCGGAGCAGTGCGTGTTCAAGTGATGTTTCATGTCACAATGCGTCTTAGCTCTGAAACAAATCAAATATTGGTAATTTGCTTCCATATTATTTCAGGCAACCAGCTGTGTCATTTTATTTCAATTAACTTTCACAAAAATCTCACTAAATTAAAATCTGTGCCTAGAAACATTCCGGAACAAAAATGAATACTTCTTACCCAACACACTGTGAGAGAGGTCCTTCAACCAGCAGCATCACACACATACCATTTTTAAAGCAGGAGTGGATTTCTAAGTGTGATATTTTATCTGTAAGACAGGAAGAACTAATACTGCAATTTCAACTGCATACATTATGCAGTAGATCATGAATAGTCAAGTATTTTAAAGTACTCTGCGATCATTATTCTTGAAGGACTCGTAGCCAAGCTCACATAACGTACGCCACATTCAGCGTCAGGCGAAGGGATTTACTTACGTGTATTCACAAAAGTCACACTTGAACGGCTTGCTGTCCAGGTGTCTGTAGCGAATATGCAAACTAAGGGATGACGGAGAAGGGCAAGTCATGTCACAGAAGGAGCATTTGTAATGGTTCACGTGGTGACGCATGTGGTCCCGCAGCAGCCTCTCTGATGGGTAGTACTTGGAGCAGTGTGAGCACTGGTATCCTTGCACTGCAAGACAATTCACACCAACACATACCTGATATCCCACATTTTCTTGTATGCGCAGACGAATACATCACATCTACCGCAAAACACAGAGACTAAATCTTATTTTCTGACTTCAAACATGAAATGTGTCAGTAGGTTTATGACTTACATTCCAAAGGAACTTGTCGCTTACAATGGTCAAAGAACTTTGTTTTAGTTGCAAAGAGCCCACCACATGTCGGACAGCCCACCAGTTTCTCCTGCGTGTGGGTTCTAATGTGGTCCGCCAATTTGTATATAGAGCGAAAGATCAACTTGCAACCTGCAGTGTGAAAGAGTTTGCACTTCAGTATAGGAGTTAATCTCTTTGTAAGTTAGCTGAGTGACAGGTCATTTAATGATAGTCCATCAACTGGATGTGTGTGCTGAATGGAAGAGGATGCAAGCAATGTCTAATGGAAATTAAAAAGTCGGTGTGCTTATTACTACTGCTCTACCAACCACAATGAAGAGCCGAAAGCTCTTTATGAACGTCGGAGAAAGCTCTTCTTACTTAAACACACTCACTTCCAGCAAGGCAAATGTTCCTCTATAATAAGAATGGTCACTTTCTTGACTGAGTGTACTATGAGCTTTTGAAGGATGACTCTAATGCATGGCATGAGTTAGTTGGCTTTGGTAATCATAAATAAAATAAACATTCTGTAGGAAGCTATGCAACATACATAATAATTTTAGTTGATGCTGCAAACGCTCAAGTACATGGTCAATACACTGAAAAGTTGTTTCCACTCAACTTAGCTGATTTCACAGCTGTCATAAAGAAATTTTTCACCTTTCAATTTCCCTGATTCCTGCTTACACAGACACAATAAACTGACGTGGAACTGAAATGGCCAAACAACCAGATGAAAACTGAGAACTGACCGCGCCAGCAGCAAGGGACACCTCCTGCCACATTTTTGCCACGTGGGTTGCAGTGGACATGACTCTGCACATGACAGAAGTAAATCTGTGGGTTGCTGAATGTTCGATCACAATCGTCCCAGCAACACGTAAAAGCATCTGGCAAGTCGGGTAGCAAGTTCTTCCCAACCTGAACATATGTGCAAGCCTGTAACAAGCAAATCACTTTCTGTTCTGATGTACACACTGTCCGAAAGTTTGTTACCACTCTCGTGGAGAACTTCTGATGACTCACTTGCATTTGCATTGTACACCGAGTAAGGATCCTGTCACCGATGACAGCAAGAATCATCAATCTTAACAAGGGCAGGTGGCCATATACCATTTGCAAGTTATGCAGGTATTGTCACAGAATGACAAGTGTTTCATGTACATTGTGAAATGCAGAACACTTATGCCAACACTGCATTCCACATTAGTGGAAAAATAAATCAGCATGACCATGTCATATGGGGTACAGGAAACCCCCATTCTGTGACAGCAGGAAAGATCTTCACCAAAAGTTAATGTCTTGTGAGCAATGACATACGACAGAACTTTACTCCTTTGATGAAGCAACAGTCAGCTGTGAAATGTAGTAGAATTATGCCTTTGACAAAAATAAGGAATGACTAAGTTCAACAGGATGGGGCCACCTGCTAATTATACCTGTGCTACACAAAATTACTTGAGCCCAGACTCAGGACATCCCTGGATATGCTCCTTGTAGTGATCACCTAGGTAATTTGACTTACCGCCACATAAAGGGTAACAAACTTGTGAAACATCATGTATTTTTGGTAAACATTTACAAAAGATAATTCAAAAAAAGGAACTAACAGAATCCATGAACACACATTCTCATAATGGGAACCTTGCGATTTCACGATAATTCGCAAGGTCCAAGGTTCAATCCCAAGGCACCAGTCTGTACCAGGATGCAGATCATGCCGTCACAAGGAGCGCCAGAATCTGAAGAGGATGGCTAGTTTAACAAAGCCATTCGTCAGACAAAAACACAAATATGCACACGCTGAATGGCAGTGACTTACCGGAAGCTTCAACCGAGCCAATATGTTTGATCCAATGGACTTTATTTTGGTGTGGTATGAGTGGAAATTGACATGTCTCACTATCTCATTGGAGTCTGCAGATTCAAACTCACATGACTCCCACAAACAAGCATACACACCTGCAACATACGTATCATCTGCCTTCAGCTTCTCAAATCACACAAGATATTAACTGTAGTTCTGTACTTACTAGTCCTTATATCTACTATTCAAAATGTCCCAGGTTCAAACCCAGTCACTGTCACTAATACAAAAAGGGGTTGGCGTACCAGCATAATTTTGAATCTGTCGTAGGTCTGATCCCAAATGTTACCACTAAGTAGTAAACAAGTGACAACAGTTATCAAGGGCCAGTTATCTCTGTGTTACTCTGGTTAGATGATGTGTTTATATGAAGGAATACCCCACCTAGTCACATACACACACAGAGACTCAGGGAGAGTGGTGATAAAGAGAGCCCCAGTCTTGGCCCAGAGGTCTAGTGTTTAGTACTAGCCTAGTATTCAAAGCCATTAATATGAGAGGGCCACCCCCGATGCCTAGTGGTTAGCACACTAGCCAGACTTACTCTGAGCACAAAGCAGTGTATTACAAGAGGTAACTAGGACACACCTTCCTGATCTTCATTCTCCTTGACCTCTAGGTGTGGTATGTGGAGGCTGACATGGTGCACGAAGTCATCAAGATTGCAGGTGACATAGTCGCAGCTGCGCCACTCACACTGCAGGTTCAGCTGCTCATCCTTCAGCTTGACCATCTTGCGTTTGCGCTTGTTTCCACATGCAGATGACACAATGCTGTCTGTCTCATCTGGGGAGTCACATTCCTCCCCCTGCCCCCCCCTCTGCTTTGCTTTGCAGCCCATGTCCTTCTCCTGTGTGTGACATGACTGACTGTCCACCCAGTCACCACACTTCTTAAGAGCGTCAGCCTTCGTAAAGCTCTGATGCAGAGAGAGTGGACTGTCTGTCGACAGTTCATCAATTGCCGACATACTGGA